CACTCTCCCTCTTCAGCATCCTCAATTCCGTTCTCCCTTTGGTCCTCTTAGGAGCCCAACCATGACTCGATCCTTCCCCTTTGGTTCCTGGGTCACGGGTGGCAGCTCAGCAAAATCCCAGACTCATCGCGACTGAGCCGCCACAAATCCCTGTACTCGCCAGGTCCTATAGGCCAAGCGAACGTCAGCCCGGCCATCTCACCTCCTGCCCCCTTGGTGTCCTTGCAACGCGCCTCTCCCAATGCACCCGTCACGTCGGCCGGTCCACCCCTGTCCTTTCGAGCTCCAGCCTCTCTGAAAAGAGAATGGCAGACCTTGGTCTGATTGTGATTCTGCCACTTACCAGCTCTGTAGCTTAACCCTGCTGGGCTTCCGTCCTTTCACCTAGAAATGTGAACACACTTCCTTGAGGGGTGTTTATAATGAAGATTAGAGGATGCCTGTCAAACTCTTGGCGTGGCACCTGGCACAGAGCAGGTGCTTAATACTTGGCAGCTATTATTGTAACACTCTATTCTCACTCTTCCATGCTGGAAATCCTCGGAAAGTTGCGTTGTTGGAAAGCAGGGCCCCGGGCCCCAGCAAGCTTGACTCCCTTCCTTTCTCTTCCACTCCCGTGTCTTCCTCCTTCCCCCATCTCCCCCTCCAGGTCCTCCTTCCAGACGCAGCTCTTCCCTCCCCTGCGTCTCCCCTTCCCTCCCTTTCCCAGGGGACCTTGTGCACAGGGTCCTGAATGGCCAGCTCCGTGCTTTGGCATCCACAGCCTTCCTCTCGCTCTTAGCTCCCTCCCTGTGCTAATGTGCACTTCGAGATGGCTCCAGCATCTAGAAAACATAATTCTTCCCTGGAACCCACGGCTGCCTTCGCTCCTCTTCTGTTGCTCTCGCTCCTGTGCCCACCCCTGAGCTTGCAGAAGTGTGCTGCACCTCTGTCTTCACTGCCGGCTTCCTACTTTGCCTCTGCCTCTCTGCCAGGTGACTGACACAGAGCCCTGCCGCACCGGCCCGCCCAGTGCATCCCCAGGGCCTGTCTCTGACCACCCAGCACGCCTGGTCCTCCCCCTCGAAACCCTGTCACCCCTTGGCTCTGGGCCTGGTGTGCCCCACCTCTCCCCTGATGTTTGTTTCAGCCCCTTCACCAATTCCTGTCCCTACTGTGAGTCAGCCCCTGGTCCTCCCGCCCCCGTCTCCTCCTGCATGGAGAAACTTCCCGCGTCACGTGCTTCAGCAGCCATGCCTACGTGGTGTCCAGGCGGGGCTGCTGGGAACGGCAGTGTGGGGAGTCCAGCCAGGCCGCGGGTGGGGTCCCGGGCAGGGGGCCACATCCACCCAGAGGGAGGGGCTCTTTCCTAATTCACATGAGAACCCTGGATGGGCTGCACCGACCCCACCAACCCGCATGTCCATCTCCCTGGGACCACCTCTCCCTGGAGTCCTGCTGACATCTCTAATTCGACAGTCCGAAACAGAGCCGGGCCCTCCGCTCCTACCCCACTCCCGCCTGTCTCCCTCCTCTGTCTGGCAGCCGGGCCACCATTCTACCCCGAAAAGGCTTCCTCTCTCATTGTTTCTACTCATCCCACTTCCCCGCCTCAGTGGAGCATCAGCACTGCCTACCTGGACGCCCTCGGGCTCGCAGCTGGAATAGCAGCGACTCAGACCCTGGAGTCACACCAACCGGAGCCAAGTCCTGGCTCAGCCATTGGCCCGCTGTGCAGCGCTGGGCAGCCACTCGGCTGGGGGCCTCGTCTGTAGAATGGGGCAGTGGCGGGTGCTACGGCGGGGCGAGGCGTTAATCACTTAGCAGAAGGCCAGGCACACAGGACCCACTCGGTCCACCTCAGCGGTGCTTAAGTCAAGTATCCACTCTCTGGGCCGCTGCTCCAGGCCTCCCACTGCTTGACCTCCCCTTCTACACCCCTGCACCATCTGCTCCTCCCCTCCCATCACCGCTCCCGCCCAGCCAAGCCCAGCACCTGCTGGACGAGCTCCATGTGTCCCTAATCCCCACCTGCCATTGCCCTCTGTGTGGCTTTCCTGAGGCTGCTGTAACAAGTCACCACAAACTCAGGAAAGCAACACGTTGATTCTTGTGCAGTTCTGGAGGCCTAAAGTCAAGGTGTCAGCAGGGCTGGTTCCTTCCAGAGGCTCTAGAGCAGAATCCGTTTCCTTGCCTTTTTCAGCTTCTAGAGCTTCATTCCTTGCACTCCGGGCTCGTGGCCCCTTCCTCCGTGTTCAAAGCCAGCGACGTTGCGTCTTCAAATCTTATACTGCGTCCACCCAGCTCATCCAGGATAATCCCCCACCTCAAAATCCAGAACTGAAATCACATTTGCAAAGTTCCTTTTGCCCTATAAGGTCACAGGCGCAGGTTCCAACGATTGGGAACTCGATATCGTTGGGGGTCATCGTTCGGCCCAGCATGTCCCCTAGTCTGCAGCCCCCTGCCCCAGCACTCTGAACTGCCTCCCCAGCGATGCCCACACCCAGTGGTCCTCCACCAGGCGGCCTTCCTTGATCACTCCTGATGGATGATCTCTCCCTCCTCTGAGAGCTCACACTCCGTACCTCCTTCAGCAGTGTTCACGTGCAGCCTGGGGTCACTGTGCGTTTCCTCGCAGGCATTTAGACCTTGTCTCTCAGGCCGAATTGCAAGCCCCTGGAGGGCGTGGCTTTGGACCATCCCCACACTCAGCCCCGTGCTTTGCACACAGTGGGTGCTCAGTAAATAGGTGTTCTGTGGATGGATTTTTATTTTCCAGCTCCAAAAAAGAAGGTGGATGTAAGCCCAACCAAGGCTTATCAACTATTTTAAAACCACAAGTTGGATGGCTGGTCACGTTTCCTCGATGGGACGGCAGCCCTCATCGTCCGGGCTACAAGCTTTGTTAAGACAGTACGTGGAAAGCAAAGAAGTTGGATTGAATTGATACTTATCTTCCTCCTGCTTCTCTTTTTAAAGGGTTCTCTTTGTATCTGACATGTCTTCTGGAACATTATAAAAAGATTATGAGCCAGATCCAGGAACTTCAGGTAAATCTTTTAACTTCTTTTTCTTTTTTCAAAGTTCATTTCGGCTCCTGCTTGGCATTTACATAACATTGTGCGTTTGAAAGGTATTTTTTTCTGTCTTGGCATTTACATAACATTGTGCGTTTGAAAGGTATTTTTTTCTGTATCAGGATGTCAGTCCACATCCTCCAATAGGTAAAATGATTTCTCCATTTGCACACAGAGATGCAGACAGGGTGGCTAAGATCTCCCAGGAGGGTAAGGACCAGGACAGGGTGCCGTCCCGTCCGGCCTCCTGGGCTAACCACAGTGCTTGTTTCCCTCTTGACTGTCAAAAGCCCAAAACATTTAATAATATCAGCTCTTGAAAACTGTGTTTCTTAAATGCAGTGGAAGAAGTACAGCTATCCACAGCACAGGCAGCAGAATCACCAAAAGAAAAGAAACATTCTAGAGACAAATGATCTTTAGGGATTGTATCTTCTGATAGCTATTGCCACAATAATGCTGTATAATAAACAAGCACAAGACTTTAGTGGCATTCAGCAATTCCTATTCACTGCTCACATGTCTGGGGTCGGCAGCTAGGTGGTTCTGCTGACTTGGGTGGGCTTGCCCACTTGTCTGGGTGCTGGCTGGCCTTTGGCTGATCTAGGCTGGCCTCAGCTGGAGCAACTTGACTCTCTGCTCCACATGAGCCATCCTCCAGTGAGCTAGCCTGGGTGTGTTCTCGTGGAGACTGCCCAGGTACAAGAGAAGGCAGGCCCAATCACATAGCGCTTTTCAATCCTCTGTGTTATGTCTGCTGGCATCCCGTTGGCCAAAGCAGGTCACATGGCTGAGTCCAGTGTCAGGGGGCGGGGTATGGGCAGACCACTGCAAATTACATAGCGGTAGACCTGGACAGAGGGAGGGTGAAGAACCAGGACTATGCCAATCAACCTGAGTCTCTAGGGATTAGCAAACTTTTTCCATAAGGGCGAGATTGTAAATACGTTAGGCTTTGCAGACCGTATTCACACCTATTCAACTCTGCTATGGTAGAACGAAAGCAGCCTTAGACAATACGTAAACCATGGTAAGCATGACTCTGTTCTAATAAAGCTTTATTTATAAAAAGAGGCAGTAAGCCATATTTGGCCTGTGGACTATGGTTTGTCAAGCCCTGGTCTAGTCCGTTCTCCACGTTTTACAGATATGGACATCAAAACCCAGAGAGGTTGGTGACTAGTTTAGGGTCACATAATTAATTGACAAAAGAATCAAGACAAATGCTCAGGTCTCCTGGCTCCTAACTCACTGCTTTTTCTCTCACACCCAGCCAATAATAACTAATAATTCGAGTCACCATTTACTGAGCACCTATGTGCTAAGCACTGTGCTAAAAGCTTTCCATCATCATCTCACTGAATCCTTACAACTCTAAGAGGTGGATACAATTATTAACCTCATTTTCTAAAGGAGGAAGCATCTAGAAATAGCTAGGGCTGGGATTTCATCTAGATCCAGAGTCTGAATTCTTTTTTTTTTTTTTTTGAGACAGAGTCTCACTCTTTTGCCTGGGCTAGAGTGAGTGCCGTGGCGTCAGCCTAGCTCACAGCAACCTCAAACTCCTGGGCTCAGGCGATCCTCCTGCCTCAGCCTCCCGAGTAGCTGGGACTACAGGCATGCGCCACCATGCCCGGCTAATTTTTTCTATATATTTTTAGTTGTCCAACTAATTTCTTTCTAATTTTAGTAGAGACGGGGTCTCGCTCTTGCTCAGGCTGGTTTCGAACGCCTGAGCTCAAACAATCCGCCCGCCTTGGCCTCCCAGAGTCTGAATTCTTAACCACTATATTCTACTGCACCGCCACCTGTAACTAGGCTAAAAAAGTTTTGTGCAAACCTTAGTCCCCTGAAAATTAAACAGGTGGTAAAGAAATGTGGAAACGACTCCTTAGCTAGGCCTGTCCCCGATCGGTGTCAGTTTCTTTTTTCTCATTTCAGATCAAATTCAACCATTCTCAGGAAACTCAGCAGTCTTTGCTGCAAGAAAAGCTGCAGGAGCACCTGGCAGAGAAGGAGAAGCTGAACGTGGAGAGGCAAGAGCAAGAGGAGAAACTGAAAGCCAGTGTCAGGCGGCTGATGGAAGAGAAGGAGGTGAGGTGGTCCCTGTCGTCTACTCTACTACGGGAAACTGACGTGGTGGCCTTTTCTGTGGGAGATCGAGGGCATGTGCTTAGATGGAGACATCTCAGCAACTCCTTGCTGGGTGCTATGGAACTAAATTAATTAAACAGGGTGAATAATTTGGGAGGATTTATCATGAAGCTCGAATTCTAAAACTCAACAGCAAACCAACTTGAAAAGGCAGGATTAGTGAAATTTCGGGAAGTGGTACCTTATTTGTCTATTAATGGAGGTGGATTTTACAAACCCGAGTCACTGCCGCAGGTCGTGGTTTGTAACTGACAGACTGTTTTTAGGCGTGTGCAAGAACCACTTCAGATTACAAATTTCAGTCTTTTGCTTTCTCTTCAGATATATCAGGGAAAACAAATGGCCAAACTTGCCACTTACTTTTCTAGAAACCAGGCCAATTAGAAGATACCTTACAGCAGCGTCTCTCACCTCCAAGGTGCCCGTGACTCCTCGGGATCTGGTTGAGAAGCAGGTTCTGACTCAGCACGTCTGGGCCGGAGCCGAGAGTCCACATTCCCAGCAGGCGCCCAGACGGCGCTGGTGCTGCCGGCCTGCAGCCCCCGTTCCCTGAGAGCAAAGGCTTAGAGGAAGCTTTTCCCAAAGCTGCTGGATAAGTAGTTTGTCTGTGTTTTTAAGAAAGTTTTGTGCAAGGCTTTGTCCCCTGAAAAATAGACAACTGGTAAAGAAATGTGGAAACGACTCCTTAGTCGGGCCTGTCCTGGATGATTTGTTAAAAACAGATTCTTGGCGCCCCCAGACCCCTTGAATCAGAATCTCTGGACAGGCTGGGCGCGGTGGCTCACGCCTATAATCCTAGCACTCTGGGAGGCCGAGGCGCGTGGATTGTTTGAGCTCAGGAGTTCGAGACCAGCCTGAGCAAGAGCGAGACCCCGTCTCTACTAAAAATAGAAAGAAATTGGCCAAACAACTAAAAATAGAAAAAAAAAATTAGCTGGGCATGGTGGCACATTCCTGTAGTCCCAGCTACTCGGGAGGCTAAGGCAGGAGGATCGCCTGAGCCCAGGAGTTTGAGGTTGCTGTGAGCTAGGATGACGCCACGGCACTCTAGCCCGGCCGGGCAACACAGTGAGACTCTGTCTCAAAAAAAAAAAAGCGAATCTCTGGCCAGGGCCAGGAAGCCGATTTCATAAGACAGTTCTCATCATAGCCCTAGAGTTAGCCCTTCCTGATACTCGGGGACCCATTGTGAATTTCACTACCCTCAAGGCCACCATCCTAGGTCAAGGGCTCATGACTTTGGCTGCACTTTTGTCATTTAGGAGATTAAAAAATACTGCCGCCTTGCACCCATCCCCCCACCCCCAGGTCCTGATCTAACGGGAGTGAAGGTATGGCCGGTGCTCTGGGATTTGTAAATGCTCCCAGGTGACTACCACGTGCAGCCGTGGCTGAGAACCACTGTCCCGGCTGGATGTGGAGTGTTGATTCGCGTGGCGCCCCCTCCTCCCCCCACTTCAAGACAGCAGCCCCCAGGTCCACTGGACCCCAACTCTTCCCGGCATCTCCTTTCTTCCCCTGAGGAGGACCGGACCTGCCTCTTTCTCTGTCTTTTCCTGCCTCACTCGGTGACTCCCAACTTGGACCACGCGTCTCTGTCACACACGCCTGCTCTCCAGACCTGCCCAAACCTCTGCTTCTTTCATTTCCTTTCTCCACGTCGTGTCAGTCACCTCAAGACACCTCGCTCCTCTCCTCCCTCTTCTCTGCCTCTGTCTCTGCCTTTCTGCCTTTCGTGAAATGAAAGATTAAAAAGGAAAAACCATCTGACCGAAAGCATGTGTCCTCTGCGTAATATTAATGGTAGCCATAAATCAAGCCGGGGACATTCCGAAGAGCAATTAGAAATAGAAAAGCCAGCACCTTCACCAGGAAGGGCCTAGAAATCTCCACCACCTTCACAAAACACTCTGCCTGTGTCCTCAGTCCCTTCTGATTAACTTGTCCCTCTAGCATCAGCTTCCCAAGTGGCTTATTTTCTTTTTTCAATCTTGGACCGACTTTTTCCATTGCTGGGGTCTGGTATTCCAGCCCCACCACGTGGAACACCGAGGTGGACACCAGCCTGGGCTTCCCAGATGCCTGTTGATGATGTTGGTTCTGGCAGAGTGTGTTTCAAGAGCTGGTTTCAAGCCCCCTTTTAAACACACAAACCGGCCAGGTGCAGTAGCTCATGCGTGACACTCTGGGAGGCCGAAGTGGGAGGACTGCTTGAGGTCAGGAGTTGGAGACCAGCCTGCCCAAGAGCCAGACCCCGTCTGTACTAAAAATAGGAAAAATTAGCTGGGCGTGGTTGTGCACGCCTGTGGTCCCAGCTACCCGGGAGGCTAAGGCAGGAGGATTGCTTGAGCCCAGGAGTTTGAGGTTGCAGTGAGCTATGATGATGCCACTGCACTCCACTTGGGGCTACAGAGCAAGACTCTGTCTCAAAAAAATAATAATAATAAACACCAACCTCAGTGCACCCCACCCCCTTGCAGAGGGAGGCAGCAACGTCAGGTCCCTGCCAGACAGACTGTGACGCTCGAGAGTCACCCTTCCTCAGACGCTGTATTCATCAGCTTGGCCCTGGGGACTCCTCTGAAGGTAACTTCTAGGACTCAGTGTCAGGCGCCATGACTTTAAGTGAATCCACTTTGTACCATCTGGCGCCCCCCCCGGCCCTTTCTAAAAATACACGTGTCTAGGCTCGCTAATTAGGCTCCCTCTCATGATCCTGACTTGTTTGATGACTTTGTTTCAATGGTAAAAAAAAAAAAATGTGAGTTCCTTTATCAATCTAGCCTTCTTTTCTTATTACAAATTATTAACAGCAGTCACTTGATTTGTGCACACAGCAATGCTTTAGATCAGAGGTTGGAAACTTTTCCCATAAGAAGCCCAATAGTAAATATTTTCAGTTTGCGGGCCATGCTATCTCTGTCGTGACTGCTCAGTCCCGCTGCTGTTGTGCGAGAGCAGCCATAGGCAATGCACGATGAGTGCGGAGTGTTCCCATAAAACTTTATCTGCAAAATACAGGCAGTGGGCCAGATTTGGTCTGTAGGCCATAGCTGGCTAACCCTTGGTTTAGAACACAGGCTTTAGAATCAAATGGGCTGGGGTTCTATTCCCTGCTTACCTGATTTTAGTAAATTGGACAGATGTCTCAATCTAAGCCCCTTTCCTCCTCTGCAAAGTGGGGAATGAATGTTCCAGTACTGTACCAAGCATGCCATGCTCATCGTCCCACGTGCTCCTCCCATCAACCCAGCGAAGGAAGCGTTATTACTGTCCCCATTGTACAGATAGGGAAACCGAGGCCTCTCTAGCTTCTCACGTACCCAGGGCCCTACAGCTAGGAAGGATTGATCCAGGGCTGTAATCTGGGCATGCCGACTCCGGAGCCCAGGCTCTGAGCTCCCGGGCTGTGCTGCCCACAGTCTACCCGGGGGTGTGGTGAGGAGTGAAGAGGTGAACCACGTAGTGCCTGGCAGAGTCCACACTCCTGCCATGGCAACCGTGATTATTAAACAACGGTCATTGACTTTCAGGCCTTGGAGGAAAGCGTCTCTGAAGAGAGAAACAGAGCAAAGGAAGCGTTACAGGAAGAGCAGATGAGAGCCCAAGAGCTGGAGAGTCGCTTAGCCCGCCAGAAGGAGGTACGCAGCTCGGGGGGACAGAGTGGCTGGAGCCCAAATCAAGGCCCTACAGCTGGGAGAGGTCGCTCTAGGGCTCTAACCTGGGCCATGCTCTGAGCTCGGGGCTGTGCTGCCTGCAGTCTCCCTGGGGGGCGTGGTGACGAGTGGAGAACCAACCACACGCTGCCTGGCGGAGTCCACGCTCCCGCCACGGTAACCACGTCTATTCAACAGCGGTTATTGACTTGCAGGCCTTGGAGGAAAGCATCACTCAAGAGAAAAACAGAGTCAAGAAAGCGTTGCAGGAAGAGCAGGCGAGAGCCCAGGAGCTGGAGAACCGCTTAGCCCGTCAGAAGCAGGTACGCAGCGGGGGGACAGAGTCGGCCCGGACCCGATCCGGCTCGAGGGCCGTGTGGAAGTCAGTTCAGAGCCGAGATGGTGAGGGCAGAGCGGACTGGAGCGTTCCCGGTGTAATCGGTCCTTGGTGGGCTCAGCTACTTCGGGAAGTACCGGGGACTTGAGAGAACCCTGGAGTTGTAGCCTTGACAACCAGTTGGTAAAAATTGTAAACAGCGTAAAACATGGGCATAGACAGGGCTTGGGAGACAGGTCGGGGCTGGTGACACGGGTGTCTTCTGCGTGGATGTTGTGTTCCAAAGTGTAGAAACGGGGATGACAGAGTCGTGGACCTCAGGGCTGCGTCAGTCCTCCACCAACAGCCTAAAATCATCCAGCCTCCAGCTCCAGCCCCGAGGAATTGTCCGCAGCCCAGAGCAGTCCCTCCAGGGCTGACGCCTTGCTGGCAGAGAGTTTTTCCTTCAGGTCGAGTTGGGGCAACCTCTTTTGCCGCAGAAGGGCGTCCCTCCCCCACCCACGCCAGGCTTCTTCCGCTTCATGACTTAGAGGCTGGAAAGTGGAGGCACCTGCTCCTCCCAGCCCAGGCGCCCTTGTTTCTCCTTCTGCACCTCACAGGACGGGAGCCTGGCCCTGGTCCCCTCCCTGGCCCGCTCTGCCCTTCAGAAGTTGCAGATTGGCAGCTCACTGCTGAAAGGGCCTGCAGATACGTTATGTTTGGCTGCAGAGTGTTTTATTTGGAATTCATAAATTTATTTAAAAACCCAGATTTCCATCCTTTCTTGAAAAGTCAGAAAATCTGGCCCTCTTTTTTACTTGGCAAAAATAGACTGGAGCCTAACCAGTTAGCAGCAGTTTGCCACAGTCCTCGCCATTCCCTAATGCATTAAACATGGCCCACTTCGCTTTTGGTCTCTGCCTAGCCCTTCTAGGTATTTAAGTTTGCAGCCCATCACCCATTTTCTTCCTAAAGTGTGGTAGCCAGAACCACACGCTGTTCTCCAGCTGTGGCCTAAGGTAGGACTCTCCCCTCCCTTGTTGACAATGTCGTACTTCTATTAATATGCCCCGACTAGCTTTTGGGAAAGCTCTCTAATACATTGTTGATTCATGTTTAGCTTATGGTCCCCCTCAGATCCCTGAGCCTTTTTCACACATGCTTTCATTAATCCCTGCATCCTGAGACCACACAGAGCAGTGCAAGCTTTGCAACCAGATGAGATCCAAGTTTGAATCTGGCTGGGCTACTTCCTGGCCGTGGCAGATTTATCAATACCTCTCTCCTTGAAAGGCTGCGGGGGTGAGATATGATGTATAATGAAGTGTCTGGCTGGACAAATGGTAGTTATTATCATTGTCCCTGCCTGCCACTTCTGCCTCTCCCTCTATTAGGGCCCTCGTTTTCTGTCCACACTCACTCCTCAGGGTAAAACCCTGGCCCTCCCACCGCTGCGGCAGAAATAAGAAGACAGCCAGGCAGAGCCTGTGCAATTTGATCTGTAAACAGTGTCACTGAGGCTCACCCCTGAGTTATTCCTCCAGGGTGGTGAGGAGGAGGAGGGCCTGCAAAGAGTCGCTCGAGTCAAATGCCACCAAGAGGTCAACCGCGTGGGGCTGGGGAAGGCCTTTGAATTTAGAGATTTCGAGGTCCCAGGGGACTTCAGGAGAAAGATTTAAGCTTCCTTGCAGAGAGGAGCTGCGGCGGGTCACCCCAGGTCTGTGAAAACGTCAGCCCGCTCCTGGCAGAACCTGTCTGCGGTTCCGCATCGGGGGAGTCTGCGAGAGCAGGCCCAGCCACAGACCCCCTGCAGCCTCGAGTGGTTGTTCCATTTTTTCTCTTTATTAGCTCTTCCTCCACATTATCAGACGGTTCTTTAAGGACAACACAATCAGTGGGTCATAATTTCGGTTTCGAGATCACGTCAAAGGGCAACCCCGTTACCCGTGACGAACGCGGGAGCCCATGTGCCAGCCGCCGAGGTCCCTGCCCATCAGCGCCGTCCCGCCCGGCCGCAGAGGAGCCGCCGCGAAGAAGGCCTGGCGCGTGGACATGGGTCAGACGCAGGAAGTGCCTCCAAGTGTCTTTCGCAGTCTATGGGGAGGCGTCCCACCCTGGAACCCACCGCAAACATTCAAAATAAACGTGAAATTCCCACAACGTCGCTGCTCTTCTGCTTTTTTTAGGCTGGTGTTGGGACAGCAGAGTGTTAGAGTTTGTAGAGCTGCTTTTCACTGCAAAATATACAAGCTGTCAGCGGCATTATGGATGAAATACTTTTTGCGGGCTAATGTGGGGCCCTACCCACCGGTTATAGCGGTAGCCGTGTTCCAAGTTCCGAACGTCGAGCTGGGGTTTAGAAGACAAGCTATTCGACAGCCGAGGTCCCCTTTCTTGCAGTGACTAGAAAGGGCCAGCAATTTATTTCCTTTGGGGATTTGCACTGGCCGTTTAGCTGAACAGCTTATCAGCAAGTAACTTCTAGACAAAATTCCTTGACTGGGGCACCACGTACTGACCACGCTCCCCTCCCTGCCTTCTACCAGAGCATTGCCAGCGAGGCTCTCCCTCCCTCTTCTGCAGATTGGCATATTGCAGCTCAATAATTCAGTATGCTGCCCTCCTCTTGAACCCGGATTGTCTTTAAGGGATTTATTTCAATAATGGAAAATTTCATTATTAATGAGAGTCTTCTTTTTATCAGAGAGGCTGCCTGGTCCAGCGATAAGTAGCCAACGCCCTGTGCTCGCCCCGCCGAGGGCCTCCGTGCTTTCCTCTGCGCAGGGTTCAGATCCGGGCCTCACGGCTGGCAGACTACACGGCCTTGGGCCCTCCCGACATCCAGTTCCTCGGTTTCCTCATCTGTAAAACGGGCTGCTCACAACATTTCTCTGACAGGGTTGCCGTGAGAGTGAAGGGCTGGCCGGGGGCCGGGCATGTCATCGCCACCCCCAACGTTTTAGCTGTTATCGTTATTATTATTATTAGCAACCACCCTCTAGGTGTGCAGCATCCCAGACCCCTGGTCGTTGACTTGCAGGTTTGGGAGAGCAGCATGGCCCACGAGAAAAGAAAAGCGAAGGAAGCCTTAGAGTCGGAAAAGAGAAAAGTCCAAGATCTGGAGAACCACTTAACCCAACAGAAGGAGGTATGAGCAGCAGAGGGAGAATGGGCCGTGGTAGCCAGAACCTTCTGGAAGGAGCTCCAAACCAGATGTACCCTGAGAGAGTGTGGTGAGAGCATGCAGGGGCTGGAGCGGCACCTCCATCCGGAGTGGCCGACAACTGCCACTTACCGGCTGTGTGCCCCAGGGCAGACCTGACCCCCTGTCCCTCAGTTTCCTCACCTGGAAAATGGGAATGATAACAGTCTCTACCTCAGAGGGTTAAATGCTACGAGACATAAGTACGTAGAACTTCACCCTGAACATAGTGGGCCCTCCGGAAGCTTTTCCTGCTCTTGGGCTCAGCTACCTGGGGAGGAGGGATGGCCTCCAGGAGAGAACCCCTGGGTTGTAGTCTGGGTGGGCCCCTCAGCCAGCATCCTCCTCCTCCTCCTCCTAGAAAGGTATTGAGACACACCCTGCATGGCCTCGGGAGACAGCACCCCGGGCCCCAGCATCCTGGTGTCATAGACTCGAGCAGGCCTCCCTGGGCCGGCCGAGGGGTAAGAGACACAGACAGCACAGTGGGAGGCAGGAACACCACGAGCTCACGTGGTAGCCACGTCACATAAGTGCCAGGGATCCGCGCCTTCAGGGGTGGGTGAGAAGTGCACCCCCGGACAGGACGGCGTGGGGAAGGTGAGGAGGGGTCTCCGAGTGCCAGGCCCAGGCAGAGCTGGAGGCACCCACATCCACCCCCCCCCCCCCCCCCCAGCCTGGGGACAGGCCCACCAGACACATCTGCTCAGAGCAGCACGAAACGGAGGCCCTGGGGTCAGCCTGGACGCCCGGCCATGCCCTGGAAGAAGGAGCCTAGGGGGTGGCACAAACACCCACGTGCCGGCCCTCATGGAAAATCCAGAAACAGAGCTGACGGCTCAGGGAATTGTTCTAATCACTTTTGTTCCTCCACCCACAAATATTCGCTGAGCACCCACTGTGTGCCAGGCCCTGTTCTGGGTGCTGGGGACACCACAGTGAGCCAGACGGACCAGGACTAGGCTGCCCAGAGCTTTCATCCTAGCTCGGGGCAGACAGACAAGGTGGAAGCAAATGCAGGGACAGCTCCAGGCCACAAGTGCTAAGGGGAGGAGAAAGGTGTGGGGATGGGGCTAGAGAGTGGTCTGCAGGCAGGGAGGGCCTCTTGGAGGGGGTGACATCTGAGTGAGACCTGGAGGGGTAAAGGAGCCTGGGGGCAGAGAGGGCCACTGGGTGAAGTGGCAGAAACTCAGCGGGGCAGGACCTGAACTAGCCAGGGGGGTGGTGGGCATGAGGAATGAAACTGAAGCTGGCGGGAGGTGGGAGGCACAGGGGGGTGCAGGGGAAGGAAGCAGGAGACGCTGGGTGGGAGAGGCAGGAAGGAGCAGTGGAGCGTGTGGGCTAAAAATGCCCGTTTTGGGCTCAGATCCCAGCTCTGCCCCAACACGCTGTGTGACCCTGGGCAGGCCCTTTGCCCTCTCTGTGCCCTCAGCGTTAACGTGGGTGTAGTGGCAGAACCACCCAGATGTCTAGTGTGAGGAGTCAGTGCATTCATGCTTGGGAAGCCGCTGCCCCAGGGAGGCCAGAGTGCGGGCGGGGCAGGGAGTTGAGTGGTGCAGCAGGGTGGGGGCCGGACAGCCTTAGCAAAGACCTTGGCTGAGGGACTATGCCCCGCCTGTGAGGGAAGTGAGGTCAGAGTCCAGGTGGGATGCGAGAGCACAAACACGGAGCAAGCCTCGATAAGGGGTGGGACCCAAATGGTGGTCACTGCTGCCCCCAGAGCAACCCTTATACATATGGGCCACAGGAGGGGTCTTGAAGCCGGGCTCCTGCCAGGCTCTGTGCCAGTGCAGATATGAACGTATAAACATGTCTCCCGCCTCCAGGGGGTGGGGTGTGAATCAGGAGGATGGGTAAGGCAGGGCCTGGAGGCCGCAGGCCACTGGTTCCGGCAGGGGCGCTGGTGTCCACGCTTGCACCACCGCTTCCTGGCGCTGTGACCTTGGAAGGTTACTTGCCCTCGTCCTGCCTCAGTTACAGCCTCCCTTTCCTCCCTGTAAGACGAGGCTGGCGGACACATGCTGTCTGGGGGTGTGCAGAGCGGACGCACTAACACACTCAGTGCACCGTGTCATCGTGACTGTCGCCATTTGTAATGCGCCGAGCAGCGCGTGGTGAGAGGAGGGAAAGGACGCTGGCCACGGGGCATGCAGGAGGGGGTTGGTGGCCTCCTACGACAGGCAGGACTTGGACCTGCAGGGTGGGGCTGGGCAGTCTTAGGCAAAGACTTGGCAGAAAAAGCCAAGGGTGCACAAGGAGGTGGGGTCAGAGTCCAGAGCGGCGGGGAGGACACCGTGCTGGGGGGCGAGGGGGCGGGGCACGTCCATAGGTGATGTGAAAACATGGAGAACATCGGGAACATCTTTTCTCCAGGGCCACACACATCCCCAAAGTCTCGTCCTGCCCCTCAAATTAGAAGCTTCCCATCTCCCAGCATAGCAGGCCGTGGAACAATTTTCAGTTGTTTTTCTTTTTGCCAATAATGCCTGTTCACTAAAGAAAATTTAGAAGATACAGACCAGTGAAAAGAAGAAAATATAAATTGCCTTAATCTCAATTCCCCCAAAATAACCACCATTTACATTTCAGTACATATCCCTGCAGGCTTTGTGCACGTGCGCAGATATCAAAACGCTTTCCTTGTGAGCGGCATGTCGGTGCGGGGAGCGTGACTGCGAGAGTTTCTGCAGTCGCAGAGTTTGTCAGCCCCGCTCCGGCTGTTGACTTCCAGGGGCTTGAGCAGGGGAGTCGGGGCCTCCGATTCCCTCCCCGTCACCAGAGCTACAGGGCGTGTGTCCTCAGCTCCAGACTGTCCTGGACAGGACACCCACGCCTTTGTGGACAGGAAGAGACCGGCTGTGTCCTTCTTTGAAGCCACAGGCATTGGGCCTGCTGGGACAGGAGGCGTCTCCCCAGCATGGTCTCTCCCGCCCCACCTCCCCAGAAGCCAGGTGCTTCCCAGAGGGCCTGCATCGGTGCCAACGCAGGCCAGTCCATTCAGTGGCTCAGCGCCACAGGATGCGGCCTGAACACTCACCAGCATGTCACTTCCTGAACACCAGCCCCGAAATCCTGAATGATGACTCACTCTGTCCTTTATGCACCTGACTAACCAAGACGTGGCCCTGAGCTCCTGTGCCCAAACCCTGACTCAGTGGTCCCACCGGTGACATGTCCTGGCGTCCCCTTGCAGTGTCGTTTCCCTTTGAGGGTACAGGCCCTCAAACCGCTGTCATTGACTTCCAGATCTCAGACAGCAGCATCGCCTACGAGAAACACAAAGCCAAGGAGGCCATAGAGAAGGAAAAGAAGAAGGTGCAAGACCTGGAGAATCGTCTGACCAAGCAGAGGGAGGTACGAGCCTCCGGGAGGGACGAGAAGAGCCCAGCGGGGGAAGGGCAGTGCTCTGGAGCCGGGCTCTGGGCTCAAATCCTACCTCCCCCTCTCTGGCTGTGGGACTTTAGGCAAGTTACTTACCATCTCTGTGCCTTGGTTTCCCCACTTATGGAATACAGATGATACCGGTAGGTCAGTCTCTGAGCTGTTGTGAGAATGACTGCAGATAACACATAGCGCACATGGAAACGCACCATGTGTGTGGGCTGCGTGTAGCGATAGGAAGAGCTCGCGGCTCGGCAGCGAGGGGCAGGCTCCAAACCCGGGACTGTCTCATTCCCGAACCCCCTCTACTGTGCAGCTCTGTGTGGCCTCAGCTGCCTGGGGTGACAGAGATGTCAGAGTACAGACACCTGGATTTCTGATCACTTTGATGTCAGTTTCCCCACCAGAACTTGTCATCCTAATTATCATCACCTTCTTAATCAAGATGCATTTGCTATTATTACCAGGAGTAACAGGTGCAGTAAGAGTAGAGGTGGGTGTTGCACACCCCCCTGTCGTAGGTACCACACGCAGCAGGACGTAATTCACCCCTCCTGGGTCCCAGCAGTACAAGGGACACACACACACAATGACCAGTGTCTCAAAGGCAAAGCAGGTGACAAACACACAACCCAGCACTAAAAAAGTCTCTCCATTCATGTCAATCTTGGATCATGTTCTTTAAAGCAAGGTTCCCAAACATTAGCATGCACTAGAATCTCTGGGGAACTTATTTTAAATGCCTGTTTCTCAGGCCCCAGAGATTCTCATCCACTGGGTGTGGGGTGTAGGGTGGACTCAGGAACCTGCGTGTTTAACAAGCAGCCCACGTGCTCTTTAAACAACGCTGCTCCAGGAAAAATAGTGTCGGGAAAGCACATCTGGTTTGCACATCAGCCCTGGGCACCACTGTTAACGAGGGACCTTGACTAACTGGCATAGGTCAGAGAAGGCAGACTGGAGTCCAGCGAAGTGACCCAAGACTTGTCAGCTCAGGGCTGTCATACTCACGGAGGACGCCCCGCGCCCAGGCGCCACGCTGCAGGATGCAAGAGGGCCCGAGAGGAGCAATCTGTTCCCAAGCAGCCTTGTTTCCCCAAATGAGGTACCGTGGAGCTTCCTGGAAATACATCAATTAGGGGTAGGCAAAAGGAGAAATTAAAATTTTAAAAATAGATAAATTGGGACATAAAATGGATCAGGAATGAGACTCATGTAAAAAAAAATTGTGTATCATGAAATCAATGAATGGGTCACAAGTTTTACTCCGGCAGTCACAGTGAATAGAAAAGGAGAAAGGAGAGAAGAAAAGGAATTCAGACCCAGGAATAGTGAACTTTGTTCTCCTGTCCTTGGGCAAGGAGCAAAGATGCCAGGCGAGTGTTCTGCCCTAGGGCAGGGCAGCTTCATGGCCGTCAAAGAAACCATTTCAGTTTCTTGTGGATTCCCGGAGACACCTGGAGTGTGTCCCTGAGCTGTGTGTGCCAGGCCGCTCTGCGGGATGCCTGCCTTTGTCCCCAAGGAGCGTATCCTCAGGCCAGGCCTGTGCGTTGTCCTCATTGGAATTTCTCAGCAATAATAGTGATATTCAGACCCTAAAATAGAATCAGATGGAATTCAGCGGCAGTACAAAGAAGACGAAGCAACTCCCAGGTGAGACTTGCACGAATAACATGATGGAAATGGTATTTGTATTTTATTTTTTCCAAAAAAGATATCAGTTCCTTTTCCTTATTATAAAAGGAACACCTGTCATCTTAGTAAATTTGAAAAATACAGAAAATCACTCGAAAGAAGAAAATAAAAACTATGCTTCCGCTGAGCAGTGTTGCCGCTGGTGACATTTTAACATGATTCCTTCCAGAGCATCTTTATGCTGAGCATTATCGTAGACATCAATAAGGATCAATTTATCACAAAGTTAGTCATTTATACTGTGACAGTGTGCACGCTGCTTTGGAGGCTATTTTTATACTTAGCGTATTATAAGACTGTCTCTGTGTCATCGAACAATCTTCCACGACCTGGGTTTGCTCTGTGTGGACGGACACCAGGTTATTTGTCTTCCCCTGTGGCCAGGCACTGGGTGGTTTCTTGGTTTTCACTCGTGTAAAAGACGCTTGGTTGGACAACCCCATGTATCACTCTTCACGTCCTTAGGATAAATTCCCCCAAATGGAATTGGATAAAAACAAACATTTTCAGGTTTGCAATACACATTCCCAAATTACCCTCCCGAACGGCCATACTAGTTTATGCTGCCACCAACACAGTCTGAGAATACCCAGTATTACGTATCAAGAATTTTTATTTTTTTTATTTTTTTAGAGACAGGTCTCACTCTGTCGCCCAGGCTGGAGTGTACTGATGAGATCATAGCTCACTGCAGCCTCCAACTCCTGGGCTAAAGTGATCCTCCCGCCTCAGGCTCCTGAGTGGCTGGGGCTACAGGTGCATGTCACCACTCCCAGCTAATTTTTATATTTTTATTCTTTGTAGAGACTAGGTCTTGCTATGTTGCTGGGATTACAGGCAAGAGCCGCTGTGCCTGGCCACAAGAATATATTTTAAAATTGCATTAAACAATGTTCATAAAATGCCCAGCACAGTGCCTGCCAAGAGGCCCACATTCCACGTGATTTGAGAAGTTTCTCAGGGAGAGAGTAGAATTTTGACAATCGAAGATCAGAAGGACCAGGCGCGGTGGCTCACACCTGTAATCCTAGCACTCTGGGAGGCCAAGGCGGGAGGATCGCTTGAGGTCAGGAGTTTGAGACCAGCCTGAGCAAGAGTGAGACTCCGTCTCTACTAAAAATAGAAAAAATTAGCCGGGCAATTAAAAATAGAAACAAAAAAACTAGCTGAGGGTGGTGGCAAGCACCTGTAGTCCCAGCTACTCGGGAGGCTGAGGCAGGGGGATCGCTTGAGCCCAGGAGTTTGAGGTTGCCGTGAGCTAGGCTGATGCCACAGCACTCTACCCAGGGCGACAGAGTGAGACTCTGTCTCAAAAAAGAAATCAGAAGAATGAGTTCAAGAGGCGGGAAGCTTCCAAGGCGCGCGAGGACGTGGCGGCTGGAGTCCCATCTGGCCAGGGCCTGGCAGGTGGAGATAGGCCATCGCCGTCAAGGCCCCGGAGGAAAGCAGAGTGTCCTGAAAGCAAGGAGAGAAGGACTCAGCACATGTATCCAGGAGGAGAGATTTAGAGAGACGTGACAGCCCTCCACAAATATTTAATGGGCTGTCTCATAAAAGAGAAATAAAACTTACTCAGTGATTCCGGGTGACAGACACAGCTCAGAGACCAGAAATCACAAGGAGACGGATCTCAGCTGAAGATAAAGAAGAGTTCTATTAATATAATAATTGGAACCTTCCAGAGAAGGCATGAGCTTTGCTTAAAAAGGATCAACAGAATCATGACAGCGTAGAGTTTACTTCTCGAAGGCAGCAGGGCGGGGAGGCTAGGGGAAATACCTCTTCCTCAGTGTCTGTTATGTTGATGTTTTGTTGTTGTCTATTAGGAAATAGAACTAAAAGGGCAGAAAGAAGACGTGTTGAATAATAAATTAAGTGACGCGCTGGCCGTGGTGGCAGAGACCCGGAAGACGCAGACGGCCAACAGCCTGCGGGCGGAGAGCCTGGCCGTGCAGCTGCATGAAACGCTGGCCGAGCTGGAGACCGCCAAGACGAAAATGGTAAGTCGGTGCCTGGTAAGATGGGAGAATTTCCCCATTTTCCCTCCTTTCCCCATTGAAATACTCCAACGCCAAGACAATGGGAGGCTTCCCAACCTCAGCACTGCAGACGTTCTGGGCAAGTGACGCCTCCCGTTAGGGGCTGTCCTGTGCATTGGGGTGTTCAGCATCGTCCCTGTTCTCTACCCAGCAGATGCCAGTAGCCCTCTCCCTGCCACTGTGACAACCAAAAATGTCCTATAGAAGACAAAATGGCCCCCTATTGGTGTAGAACGAAAGGTACTCAGAGCTGAGCACACCCTCTCTCCAGGGCGTTCTGAGAGGTAATGCAGGGTCCTCCCAGGATCAGGGAGAAAGACTGGGGAGCCCCAGAATTTAGTGACCCGTAACCATTCCACAGATTCTAAGACAATGTTTTAAAGCTCTGGCCCGGCGTTCAAGGCCCTCCACAGTCAGGGCTCGATGTTGCATTCATGCAACGGGCCTGCGGGCAAGGAGGCGATGAAGGCTAATCCGCCAGAGTGCACCAGGTACATTTGGGAGAGCGTGTGGCATTGGAGAGACCAGCTCTGGGTGTGGCACGTGGTGGCCGCTGATGGGTCCAGAATCACAAGGACAAGTGGTGGGGGCTGGGCGGAGGAATGAGAAGGAAAGAGTCACCGCAGAGAGAGTTACAGTGGCAGGACTTGGTTAGTGGCTCGCGGGACAGGAGCACCAAGGAGAGGAGATGCCAAAGGAGACTGCAAGCCTCCAGCCAGGGCACCTGGGGAGGGGACGGCGCAGGGAGGGCACATGGGTGGGGATGTGGAGGTTCGGGGTAGCGGGGAGACGTCGTCAGGGGGATCCTGTTTTGGAGAAGACGAGGCAAGGCGGGAGCCCGGTGGCGGCACAGTAGACTGGGGAGAGAAAGCAAGACAAGGGCCTGATTAGGAAGACGGCCTCACGGGCACGGCCGCCGAACGGTGGGCAAAGAGTTCACCATCCTCCGAGCAGACCCGAGAGTAGGGAGCAGGAGCTGACACCACTGAGGGACGCGAGAGGTGAGGGTGGCGGAGACTCCAGGAAGAACCTCAGGAGGCAGAGGGTGGGAAAGGGTCTGACTCGCCATTTGGGGGTCACTGGTAATTTCTGTTTTGAGGAAATACAAATTCATTCACTTTTTCTTATAGAATTATTCATTCATTCATTCCACAAAGATCTATCCAACATCTAGGTCTAGATGCTGGGGGGCAGAGCAGTCAATAAGACAAGTCTGTCCAGGCGCGGTGGCTCCCGCCTATAATCATAGCACTCTGGGAGGCCGAGGCGGGTGAATCATTTGAGCTCAGCAGTTCGAGACCAGCCTGAGGAAGAGTGAGACCCCATCTCTACTAAAAATAGAAAGAAATTAGCTGGACAACTAAAAGTATAGAAAAAATTAGCCGGGCATGGTGGTGCATGCCTGTAACCCCAGCTACTAGGGAGGCTGAGGCAGGAGGATAGCTTGAGCCCAGGAGTTGGAGGTTGCTGTGAGCTAGGCTGACGCCATGGCACTCTAGCCCAGGCAACAGAGTAAGACTCTGTCTCAAAAAAAAAATAAGACAAATCTCTGCTGTAGTAGAATTTACGTTCTAGTGGGCATGAGAAACAAGGAAACAAGGTCATTGTAGATGGTGATGAAGGCCTCCAGAAAAATGAAACAGACGCTGGAATAGAAAGTGTCTCAAGCTGCTCCCGAGAGGTAGTCAGGGAGGGCCTCTTGGAGAAGGTGACATTGGAAGTGAGACCTGAAAGATGAGGAGGAGTCAGCCCTGCAAGGAGCTGAAGAGCGTAAGGGGCAGGGGGATCAACATGTGCAAAGGCCCTGGGGTGGGGCCCAGTACAGCCCCGAGGTGTGTGGAGGAGCTGTGTTCTTGCAGTTGTCGCCACATCCGCTCCCAGGTCACAGCGCGTGTGGCTCTGCTTCCCAGATCGTGATGGAGGAGCGTATGCTGCTGCACCAGCAGACAGTAAAGGCGCTGCAGGACGAGCGAGAGTCACAGAAACACGAGTTTGAGGAGGAAATCTCGGAATACAAGGAGCAAGTCAGACAGCACTCCCAGACGATTGTGAGTCTAGAGGAAAGACTCCAAAAAGTGACTCTACACCATAAAAAAATCGAAGGAGAGATCGCGACTTTGAAGGACAACGACCCAGGTAGGGCTAAAGGAATGCCGAGGAAATCCCGGTGTTAGGGCAGGTTCTGCTTCTCCTGTGGGTCCCCATAGGCTGGCTGATAAGAAAAGGCCACGCCCCATGTCAAATCTCATCCGTTCCCTGGAGACCCCCTCTTGTTCTCGTCACACAATGTGAGAAGCCCTCCAGGGCCCAGGTGAACGGTAATGACAATGAATTGGGACGTCCTCTGTGCCGACCTAGTGAGCCGGCGAGACACCCAGGCCACCAGGGCTGGTAGGGGCATCGAGAGGCATGAATTTAGAGTTGTCTTTTCCACGTGAAAACATCTCGTGCAGGGACCTGTCGGAGGCTTCTCTCCGCCGTCAGACTTTGGCAGCTTGGCTAATGCACTTTCGTTACCCGCCGGGATTTGTCTCTTAAAAAATAAGCCCTAGGCCGGGCGTGGCAGCTCACGCCTGTAATCCTAGCTCTCTGGGAGGCCGAGGCGGGCGGATTGTTTGCGCTCAGGAGTTCGAAACCAGCCTGAGCAAGAGCGAGACCCTGTCTCTACTAAAAATAGAAAGAAATTAATTGGACAACTAAAAATATATAGAAAAAACTAGCCGGGCATGGTGGCGCATGCCTGTAGTCCCAGCTACTCGGGAGGCTGAGGCAGGAGGATTGCTTGAGCCCAGGAGTTTGAGGTTGCTGTGAGCTAGGCTGACGCCACGGCACTCTAGCCCGGGCAACGCAGTGAGACTCTGTCTCAAAAAAAAAAAAAAAAAAAAAAAAGCCCAAAAGAGGCTAAAAAAAGAACTCAGAGTCGTGAGCACTTATTCGCCCTGAGTGACCAAGGTAACTAGTATTATTGCAAAAATACTAAGCTCTTGGAGAAAGTTCTGGAAGTAGAGGCTTCAGGCCAGGGTTTTGTAGCCTCGGCACTATTGACATTTGGGGTAGGATCAGGCTTTGTTGGGGGCTGTCCTGTGCACTGCAGGGTGTTTAGCAGCATCTCTGGCCCTACCCACTGGATGCCAGTAGCACCCCCACCCCAGTGTGACAACCAGAATGTCTCCAGACATTGCCGGATGTTCCCCAGGGGCAAACTCCCTCCTGGTCAAGAGACGTGGTTCTGTCTCAGCCGGTTAGCCGGCTGTCGGGGCTCACCCCACGCACGCACGCGTTCATTCATTTGTTCATCTGGCACTCTCGGTTGAGCCTCTGTTATGTTCCAGCCTCATTTAGGCACTGGGATTCGGTGATGGTCAAGCCAGTTATTGCCCCTGCGGTTAACCAAATCATCGCCCTTCCCCGATCCAGGATGAACAGGGCACCATGGCGAGGGCAAGGAGCAGGGCTCAGTTTGCTAACCCAGAGTCTGGGTCGGAGGGAGGGTGTTTGAGCAGGGATCTGAAGGGTGACTGTGTCTGTGTCACCCCCACACTTAGATCAGCGCCTGCCATAAAGCAGGCGTTCCGTAAATGTTTGTTGACTGAATAAACGAATGAGTGAGTGGTGAGGACGGAAGCCAGAGGCAGGGGGGTGAGGAAGTAAGTGCGGGGTGAGGACAGGAAGATGCTGAGCACAGATTATTCCCCCGAGACTCTGGTCTGGGTGGAAAGGAGAAGGAAGAGCAGGCGGGGTGACCCAGCGGCTGAGGCTGCACCTCTCACCAGCTTCGCGGAGTGGCCGCGGGCAGGTTCCGTCACTCTGATGCCTGTTTCCTTGTCCGTAAATGGACTTAGCGATCCCTCCCTTATGGAGCAGCTGGGAAGACTGCATGGCTCGCACTCAGAGACAGCCCCCGGCCTGTGACACGGAATGCCTGGTGGGTCTCACGAGCAGGTGGAGGGTTCCTAAGTTGTTTATAAGCAAAGAGGAAGGACAGCAGCTGCTCATGAGGGCTCTAATAATGTTCCTGTGTCCCTGATACAGCTCAAAAGGAGGAAATGCCACAAGACGCTCCGTCAGAGAGCGGCGCCAAAGAGGCCACGTGCGAACACCTGATGTGAGTACCCGCGGCTGCGTGAGCGCCAGGCCGGCCTCGCTGGCGCCAGCCGAGCAAGAACAGATAAGCAAAACCCTTCCTCTGGCCACGTTGCCAGAGCCTGAAAAGAGGAGTCGAGTCTGTGGTTTTCTCAGTGCTGCTTAAGTTTCTTGATTCCTGTAGCAGTTCAGGATGGTGTCATGGAAAGATCCAGGTAGATCTACGCTCAGATCCTGTCTTAGTCTGTTTTCTGTCGCTCATAACAGAATACCTGACACTGGGTAATTTATAAGAAAAGGAAATTATTTCTTACAGTTTGGAAGCTGAGAAGTCCAAGGATGAGGGGCTGCGTCCGGTGAGGCCTTCTTGCTCGCGGGACTCTCTGCAGCGTCCTGGGGGGCACAGGGCGTCGCATGGTGAGGGAGTTGAGTGTGCTACCTCAGGTCTCACTCTTCCTTTTCTCGTGAAGCCACCAGTCCCACTCCCATGATAACCCATTAATTCATTAATCCAGTAACCCATGAATCCATTAACCCATGAATCCACAAATGGATTAATCCATTCGTGAGGACAGGGTCCTCATGACCCGATCACCTCTTACAGTCCCCTCCTCTCAATACTGCCACACTGGGGACTCAGTTTCAACATGAGTTTGGAGGGGACAAACAGTCAAACCACAGCAGATCCCAACTCAGCATTTTCTAGTTGTGTGGCCCTGGGCAAGTCACCCCACCTCACTGAGCCTTCCTTAGCTCCCTTGTTTGTGAAATCAGGATGTACGTGCCTGGCGCTTGGTAAAGGCTAGCTGATACCAGCAGGAGCAATTTTTCCCGAGTGCCTGCCAGAGGCAAGTCCATTCCTAGTACTGTAAGCAGGCAGTGGGCGAGTCCAGGCAGTGGAGACCAGTTGGTGGGGTGGGGTCCTGGAAAGGTTAAAAGTTAAGAGGTTGGACTAAATGACCTCAGCTAAGTGACCTCAACTCTCCCCACCCAAGAGTCGATGAATTGATGACTTGATCCTCATGGAATGGACAGTTGTCAGAGAAACAAATCATACAGATGGGCAAGACCCAGAAAACCACTGCGCTGCAGCATGTGAACCAGGAGGCGCGGATGGGAAGGGCTCAGACAGTTCCTCAAAGAAGACGAGCCACCAGCCTGATCCCTGCTCCAAATTCTAGTTACCAAAGTCTAATGTCACAGGGTTTTCACCCCAAGAAAGACAAAGACACCCAGCCTCCTCATTCTGAAAGGTTCCTAACTGACTCCTCCTCCTGGTAAAACCCGCTCTGGAGACAACAGTGGCCTGACTTGGAGAAGAATCGGCACCACATGGCCATGGCCACATTGCTCTGCTCTGATCCAGTGCATTAGCTTGTGTAGACACTGGAGTTCTAAAGTTTCAGCCTCGAGTTGGAAGAGTTGTGGTTATAGCCAAGGAACAGCCAAGGAGGCGCACACACACACACACAGAATGTATTCGATATGTAGTTATTTTCCTTCCAATTATCACCAGTCTTTTTTTTGTTTTGTTTGTTTGTTTTGACATCCAACCTACCAGTGTTTCGCTTTACTTCATAATAAACACACACTCCACCCTCAATAGTCCATATAAGAAGAGCCGGGATTTCAAAAGCCTGTGCTTTCAAATGAGTGACATTGATACCTGCCCAGAGACTGAGCCTCTTGACCCGCTTCCCAAGGGGCAAGGCCTCCTCCCCAAACACAAACACACAGGAGACGTCTCCCCCAGCTGAGGTTTCTCACACTTTCTCAAAAACACTCTCCCCGACAAGATACCTGCCCCTGGCGCCCTCCACCCCTCCACTGGCCGCAGCCACCCTCCCCATCAAGTGCCCTGAGTGCTTGCCGCAGGTGTCCTGCACTCTGGGTTGGGGTGGGGGGCTGTCCTTTCACCATCCCTGCACCCCCTTGGTTGTCTGGGCTCCAAAGCCCACTCCTCCCCCGACTCCCCCATGAACACCGTTCATTCATTCACGTCTGGCCCCACCTCTCTCCACCGGGAATTCAGAGGAGCTGGTGAGAGAACAAAAGCCACGTTGTCTTCCTTTCTTTCTTCTTCCCTGTCCCCAAACAATCCCTGAACCCACCAAAAATAGTCTTCCCTCCTTCCGCCGTCTAGAGCCCACAAGCACATCAATTCGTGCTGACAGACAATCGAGCCAGAAGTAGCGTCCCCCTCACACAAGGCGCATTTCAGCCTCAGACCGAACCCCGCCTGATCCTTTGTTCTATCTCGTTCCATTTTTTTAAATGAAGGTACACCAAAATGAATTTTTGTTTTGAGGATGTTGAAAGACTGCCCTCATCGCTTCGCTGGGCTTGGCATCACCTGGACCGTGATTGCACCTGACTGCGTTTGTCCTTGGCCCCTTCCAGACACTCGGAGACACCACGAAGATCAGGTCGTGCTGACTTCGCCTGTCTTTGTGCTTGCAGAGACGACTTGCTGACCGCTCAGAAGGAAATCCTGTCTCAGCAGGAGATCATCATGCGGTTAAGAAAAGACCTCACCGAAGCCCACGGCCGCATGTCGGATTTGAGAGGTTTGAACGATTCCTGTGTCTCTTGACGTCCTGACCCACTCGAGAAGGGAAGGGAATGAGGCTTAAGAATGGGAAACCTCGGTATCAAAATTCCTGGCCAACCTGCTGTCCTGTGCTGACACCTGTACTTGGGGTCAGCAAAAGCTGTATCTCAGATGTGGCTCTGATCCCCAGTGCCAAGGGGCCACGGGCCACCTTCTCCGGAGGACTTTGGCCCTCTACACTGAGATGCAACTTTCTCTTTTGGGGAGAATCTCCTCCTACCGCAGAAGACTTGGCTCTGGAAGCGAAGGCCTGGAGGGCAGCCCTGCCTCGTGGTCCTTGGAGGCCTGGCAGATCTGCTGTGGCCTTAGCAGAGACTCCCCCCCACCGGCTTTCATGTCGCCCCCAGGGGAGCTCAACGAGAAGCAGAAGGTGGAACTGGAGCGGAACATGGCGCTGGTCCAGCAGCAGAGCCGGGAGCTGAGTGTGCTCAAGGAGAAGATGGCCCAGCTGGGCGGCCTGGTGGAGAAGAAGGATCGGGAGCTGAAGGTGGTCAAGGAGGCGCTCAGGTGTGCGGGGGCGTCCGCATGGCGCAGGGAGGAGCCTGGCACAGAGGGGGGCTCCGAGGTGCTGCTTGAGGAGTTGAATGAATGAATGATACATGTTTCGTTGGTTCACAGCCTCATCAATTAAAACAGGCCTTTGCTGAGTTCTGTGCTTCTCAGACATTCTTGCCCAAGATTTCAGAAAACAGGTTTCAGCTTAAACACCACTTCCTCCAGGAAGCCCTCCCTCCCTCACCCTCAGCAAATATAGCCAAGGGATGCTGCTCTGCCTGGGGTCCCTCGGCCCCTGCACTCTTGTCCCACTACCCCTTGTCACACAGCAAGGCTACGACTGCCTGTTTATTGCCCACCTTCCCCATGGGAACGGGGTCTGTATAGACCTTGCCCACTGTTGCTGGCATGCACACAGTGCCGCCACATATGGGAACTTAGTATTTATTGAACAAACGGATAAACTGGAGGTGTCAGCATAAAATAAATATAAAATACTGTCATTGTCCCACGGATTAATCTAAAAAATACCTGTGAGTTTGTAATTTTGTTCATAGCTTACCCATGTTTTAACATAAGTAATGTTTCCCCCCCAAAATTTTGAGTAAAATTGGTGTTTTCTGTGTATCCTGTAGCTTCTTGTCCCTGGGGGCCAAGGCAGATTCAAACAGTGGCTGAAAGAACAGGCCCAAATCCAGGCTGCCTGGTTTCAAAGCCAGACGCCTCCGCGTCCAAGCTCGGTGACCACGGGTAAATTGCTGTGTGTCTCTTTGCTCGTCTGTAAAACGGGGCAAGGAGAGTCCCTAACTCATGGAATTATTTTGAGGAATAGAAGGGTTAACACAGACAAAGTGTCAGAAATTGCAGACATGCAGCCGATGCCCCTGTAAATGCTACGGCAGGTGTCCGCAGGGTAGGAAGCAAAGGCAGGTGCCCGCTGCCCTGGCCACTCTCCCATGAGTCTCCTGACACCAAATTCTCCAGAAACCTGGGGGCAGGAGACTTGAAGTCTCAAAGAATTCAGTTATCTGTAAAAATAGACCTCCACTTCCTGGTCTGCCAGTGGGTACAAAAGTAATTTGCGGTTCCCGGAACCTCGTGCCCTCCTGCTGCCCGGACGGCTCTTCTCTGCCCTAGGGCTGCCCAAGAGAAACACAGACTGCAGCTGAACACGGAGAAGGAGCCGAAGCCCAGGAAGAAGGCCCAGATGTGTGACATCTCTGTGCAGATAGAGCCAAGCCACGCCGAGGTCTTCTCGAGCAGCCAAGACGTGAGTGCCCACCGGTCCTGGGCAGCTGGAAGGACACACGGAGGCAGAGCCCAGTGGTGGCTTGCTTTCCTTTTGAAGATATTTCATTCTAAATTCCCGAAGTATGGCCTGATTGTGTGAAATGTACAAAGTAAAGTACAGAATCCTGCCCCTCGATTGCAGCCCCTAGAGGTCAGAGTTTGGCCACCAGATCTTTTCCTCGCAGAGGCCTCCACATCCTTACGTGGGCAGGAGTGTGCGGGGGACGCACTCCGCCCGGGTTCGAATCCTAGCTCCTCCACTTGCAAACTCTGTGAGGTCCCTGTGTGCTAGTTCCCTTGTCTGGGAGGAATGACAGTCCCCACCTTATCCATATACACACACAAACCCATACGTACAGATGTTTATCAATAGATCACTCTATTGCTAATGGTCTCGAACCACATGCATTCTGCAACTTGGTTCTGTTTTACACAACACTATTTAATGGACATCTTTTCAAGTAAGTATATAAAGATCTGTCTCATTCTTTGAAATGGCCGCGTAGAATTCCACCGTGTTCCTTTTATCCAACCAGTCCCCCGTTGGTGGACATTTAGGTTGTTTCTCCTTTCGCACGATGCTGTAGTTAATGTACTTGTACTTCCTAAACCGTGCTCGATAGGGCCGAACTGCCTTCCCGAAGAGCCATACACTTAACGCCCCATGGCTGTCCCTTGATAACTGCTCCGTGTGGCTGCCCGGAAGCCTTTGCGTGCCTGGAAGTCCCGTGCTCAAACGGGGAGCATGTCTTTGCATCCTCGAAGCTGGTGCTCACACTCTGTCCCTGTGGCTGGGGCGGCGAGACTCCCTATCGTCCGTCGTTGGCTGATCGTGGGGTGCAGTGGTTCCTCGAGGCCCCTGGTTTCCTGGAGTCCAGGGATAGCCTTCCCCTTGGCTTTAGGAACCTGGAAAGTGGGGCGTTCCAGTAATAGGCTTTGGATTCTCACTAGGAAGCAGGGCCAAATGTGTCAGCTTCCTTCCCGCTTTCTCAGAGATGCCTTTCTCCTGCCAGACAGCATCGAGCCAGGACCGCAAGCAGCTTGAACGAAAGGCCTCAAGGTCCGGCCAGCTGTCCTTGGCACCGACTCCTGTCCAGAGCACTTTAACAAAAGTGTCTTCTTGTTGCTCGGGGCGACCAGGAGGGGCCCGTAAGCTCTGTGGGGCAGGGAGTGTGTCACTCCCGATGGAATCCCAGGCTCTTAGAGCAGGACCACCAGACCCATACCCATCTACTCATTCAACAACTATTGAGCACCTGCTGCATGCCGGGGGTCCCTGCCCACACCAACCCCCCTTGGACTCTGTACATGTTCATTAGAACGGATTGTTGAACTGGGATGCCCTTGACTTCTAATTTGTGTTGTGAAAAGGGATTAGTGGGGGCTGGGGGAGAGCGGCTGCAAGATAAAAGGAAAATGTATTTGCTCCCTCTGGAGTGGTTTCCTCCCTCGGGCCACTTCCTGCTTTCCAAGCCAGAGTGGGTCAGAGGGTTTGAGAGTTGTATGAGAAAGAATCTCCGTCCTCTCTAAATAAACGGATTCCCAGGAGAGCTGTGAGGAGGGATCACGTGGCGCTCTGGGAGCTCCTCGGGCCACGCAGAGGCTGTACCCAGGCTTCGCTGCCGCGGCTCCCCCCAGCTCCCCAAATTCAGTATCTCCTGCCCTTTCCTGCACACAGAGAGACAGAGAGGCAGAGAACGTTCTGGCGGTTTACTCCCGGGGCAAACACACACCCTCAAAGAGATGAGTGAGGCCAGGGTAGAACCGACCGGGGAAGTGCCCCCCCCTCCCCCGTGCAGCCTGGAGCAGGACAGGGCCGGGGTCCCAGCACCAGCAAGGTCCTCTAAGTGCAGCTGGGGGTGGATGCCCCCTCCCCCACCATCTGCTGAGCCCTGGTCCCAGCTAGAAAGCTGGGCCAGCTCTGCGGCTCCTGTTTCTGACCTCGGTCCATTCAGGCTTTGTATTTGTTGAGCACCTACTATGTCCAGCCAGGCACAGTGCTGGGCCTGGGAACAGGGCAATCAACAAAGGGGACAAAGACCTTGCTCTCTCGGAGCCTACGTTCTGGGAGGGGAGGGACAGAAATAGACATGTCAACATCAGGTAAAGTGCCCAGTGGGAATAAGCGCCCTGAGGAACCACAAGCCAGATGGGCAGAGTCCCGTGCTGGGGGTGGGGGCTCATTCAGATGCGGAGGTGGGGAGGCCTGCGTCGGAGGAGACCTGGGCAGAGCCTGAAGGACAGGAAGGAGCGAGTGGTGAGGACATGGGGGACAGTCCCAGGAGGGCCTCAGATGGCACTGCGGAGCCCCTTGAAGGTGGCCATGGACCCTGGACCCCCGGTGGCCAGCGTGGCTAGCACGAGGCCTGGGACGTGTCCTACAGGGCCTTAATAAGCCTTCGAGTCACCGCAGGAAGAAGAGCAGATGCCTGTCTCCTTTCCCTCCTCTGCGCTGTCGTCCTGGTAGCATTTATCTCGCTGAGGAATTAGAGTATTTACGTACCTGTTTGTTTCTCTGTCATCTGTCTGCCCATAAAAATCAGCTCCACGGCGGCAGGGGCTTGTCTGCCTGGTCCCCGCTTTCACCCAGCGCCTGGAACGGTGTCTGGCATGCAGCCGGCGCTGTGGTTGGTAAATAGATAGATGATTGATAGATAGATAGACAATTTTAAAAATAATTTTGGTTCCCTTCGTGCTACATATGTCATCGCCTATATCTATATCTATCTATATATACGTACAAAGTGAACCAAAATTGTTATTTAAAAATTATTATAAGAGAACCAGATTTCCAATTTCTCCCTTTCTTGCGGGTTTGACTGGGGCCTTCCCTGGCAGCTCTGTCTGCGACGGCAAGCCGTTCCCAACACCCCGCCCCATCTCCCCACTTCATTTTCCCTTTACCATTTATCGCCAAACACCGTATATTTTCCCTGCTTGTCTCCCGTCGTCGTCTGTCTCCCCACATGAGGAGGCAAAATCCGTGACGCAGGGGTGGTGCCGGCCTTAGACCCTGCTGAGTCCCCAGAGCCTGGAACGAGGCTTGGCACCTACAGCTGCTCCGTACATCTGTGGGAACGAACGAATGAATTGCTCACCCCAGACAGATGTCTAACTTGCAGTCCGGACTGCACCCCAGGAGGTCCTGAACCTCTAGCAGTTATGTGCAAAATTTTGTATGTGACTTTTTCTGGAGAAAAGAACCCTGCGTGCTTCCAAACCTTAAAAGGGTGCCTGACTCTTAAAAGATGAAGAAGACCTTTCCTTGTCTGTTCTCTTAGTAAACCCAGCGCAAGCCCGAGCTGTCCAGTGAGGTCCCCGTGTCTCCAGTGGCTGCCACGTTGGAGGGTGCGTTTATAAAACACCCCCATTGTCACAGAAGGTTCTGCGCCACGGCGCTCTTCCAGAGGCCCCGGAAGTCTCAGAGGGAGATTTTCCTTTCTCCAGACCAACCAAGGGCCGATGTGTCACATTTCCCCTAGCAAGTATCAGACAAGCCTTTGTATTACCAATAAACAGGAGAGCATCGTGTGTTCTCATCTAAAAATGCCCCTCCAGGAGTAGATTGGCGTGATCGGAAACAAGACCACAGTGACAACAAATGGAAACCCAGGCATAGAAGAATGTTAGCGGAGAAAATAAATAAAACGAGGAAAGGGAACATAGAGGAGATCTTTTATTTATAGTGATGCTAAGTAGGTAGGAAAGTTGGAAATCTTCCTAGATGTGGCTTGATATTTGAGACGAGAAATTTAAATTCCTTCTCTGCCGAAGCCCTTACGGTATTTTCCAAACGTGCTAAGTGACAGTTTCTGCAATGCATGAATTGCCCATGTTTCTGTGAATGTAAGAGCAGTATTCTCATCCCTAATCAACCACTGTCTGCGCCATTCTGCCCACAGGAGCAATCCTTCAGTGACCTGGGGGCCAAGTGCAAAGGGTCTCGACACGAGGAGGTCATTCAGCGTCAGAAAAAGGCCTTGTCGGAACTTCGGGCACGCATTAAAGAACTCGAGAAGGCCTGCTTGGCAAGTAAGTCTCCTCCTTCCTGGCCAGAGCAGCGGACCCCAGACACGGGCTCATTTTGGGGACTGACCGACTTGCCGGGACTGTCATCTCTTATCCCCGTGATTTCAGAACTGAAAGCACATTGCACTGCAAAAACAGATGGACAGCCCGTGAGCTCAGAGTGAAGAGCAGGCCTTGAGGTTAAATAAACGGGGTTTCAGTGAAGAACTCACTATTGTCCTTTTCTTTTTTCTCTGTGGCCGGGGGGAAACTTTGTCATGGACTAACGCTGTCTGAGGATCAGCGTTGGGGAACCTCGTAGAGTACCCCGCTTAGCGGGGATAGGGCTCTGTCAAGATTTGGAGCTTACTGTTGGGTAGGGCACAGGGCTAGGAGCCGGAAGCCCGGGTTCAAGTCCTGCCCTTGTGTGGCTGAGGGACCTCAGGCAAAGTTCACCCTCAGTGCCTCGGCGCTGGCACCTACGTGGCGGCAGCCTCATACTAGCTGTGTGACCTCGGACGAGTCACTTAATCTCTCTAGGCCTCAGTTTCCTCATCTGCCAAGGGAGGTCGTGAGGATTAGAACAGGCCTGTGGTAAGTGTCCCATAAGTAGTAGCCGTGGTTATGACACGAAATAACTTCTTCCTGAGCCTTTCTTTTGAGTCTAAATTATTTCTTTTCTAGATCGTAAGGACCACCTGAATGAATCAATCCTAGAATTAAAGACTCTCAGAATGGAAAATAATGTCCAGAAAATATTATTGGACACAAAACCTGATTTTCCAGCTCTCTCAAGAATAGAGATCCCAGCGGTAACCAAAGAAACTTTGTCTCTGCAGTGACCGGCAGGTGGAGCGGGTGGGCCTGCGGGCGGACGCCGGCCGGGTGCCCCGGTGCAGCCGTATCTATCGGTGGGTGGGGCCAGGTCCTCCCTGACGGGCTGGTGTCTGTACTCACCGGTCAGGGCCCTGGCCGCACCAGTTGTCCGGTGTTTGCACAGAAAGGTGGCCTTCTGTTTGTGCCCAGCATGGTGTGTCATTGCGTTGACACTGGGCAGATCCGTCGCTGAAGCACGGTAGGCCCCTCTTCCCATCACGTGGGACGCTCTGGAGAACATGTTCAACAGGCTGATTTATAACATTATACCCGAAGTTTGCCTTTCACTGTAAACTGAAAAACGTGAACGCATGCAAGGTAGCAGAAGGCAGTCCTGACTAAGAGGACACAAGTTCTGGAGCCCCCAGGGCGTGTGTCCAGATCCTCGCTCTGCAAGCTGTGTGACTTTGGACAAGGCTCTTAACCTTTCTGGGACTCCATTTCCTAGCTGTAAAATGATGATAAAAAAATTAAAGGAGATAATTCTGTGATTAGCCCAGTGCCTGGCTCATAGTAAACACTTAATAAATGATAGCTGTTCTTATTATTCGATATGATTTAAATACTGTTTTTCGAGGAGAATTTCTCTTCTTAAAGAGGCACAGTTTTATTTGCCAGGATTTCCGGAAGTGATTTGAATGTGGAATTGAAGGTGCACTCGTACCCTAACGGATGTCTGGGCGTTTGATGGACACGTGACTGGGGACAGCTCGGGTCGGTGCCAGTCACAGGACCCACTGAGTGCACACTTGCTGCCAAGCCAGGTCCAAGCCACACGCAGCCTTTAGAAGAAATACCAAGTCCATCCTATCGGTACCAATGTTCTCTCCCAGTAGTTTTTCCGGACACTTGCCTTAGAGGATCTTTGGAAATGAGCTGGTTTTCTTGATAAAATCAAACCCTCCTTCCCCAAGGTAGGGAGTGGAGGGTCACTCTCCAGATTCACAGCCTGACTCTGTTCCAAGACTTGGCTCCCCCTTGCAATGACCCCAGTCCCACCACTGACACGACACAGCAGGAAACCTCTCAACTCTCTTAAAAGACCTGAGTCCTCCAAAGTTGGCAGTAATTAAAATCAAAAGAGGAGAAGGAGCTGGAGGAAGAACAGCTGACGTGTACTGTGTGCCAGGAATTGGGCGGAGCCCTTCATTATCTCACTGAAGCCTCACAACAGCCTGGGTCATAGTCACCATTATTATCCCCATTTTATAGATAAGAAAAACTGAGTCTTCAGAAGGTCAAATACCTCACCCAAGGTCACAGAGATAATGAATGGTGGAGCCAGGACTGTGTCCCTAGAGGTCGCTAGTCTGCAGAGAAGGAGGTGGAGACAGTGTCATTGAACTCGTAGCCCAGACTCTTCCTTAAATGACCCTTGGTCAGGACTTCTGCCACCTTCAGGAAAAGAGAGGGGGTCCTGGAGAGGGGAGCAGAGGGTGCAGCTGAGGGGGCTGGAGATGCCGAGCTGCCTTTTATGTTCTCTCGCAGCAAATCTGCCCAATTTATTGTCACCCCCAAACACCCGCTTTATTCTTATTTCTATAGATAGATAAATACATCTACTCTTAATACAGACAAATATGTCCACCTTACCTATCACAGTCCTATAAAGTCCAAAGACCTATAAAATTTTAGGCCTCTGTATATTTGTAATTGGATTTTGTTTTGTTTTGTTTTAAATCTCAGCAGTTTCCAGTGTAGTGCCAGTCACCGCCGCGGGCTGAGATGACTTTGGCGATCATTGGCGCTGCTCACGGCAAACACTGAAATCCCAATTTCGTTGTAAGGAGATTCATGAGGGCTGTTTGTGGCCTTCCCTGCTTGGCCTGGTGGCTCTTTCATGCATTTGGTTGGAGCTGTCTGCAGCCAGCTGGCTGTGTCAGGTCTTAGCGGCACAGCTGTAAACACCTGCCGCCCTGCACCGTGCCGGGAAAGGGTCTGAGCTGATGCTCGCTTGCCCACTTCCACACGAGGAGGACATTTGGCCAGACTTCCTGGGGGTCTAGTTTCTGCTGCGTGCAAATGAGATCCCTTTCATAAAAGGAGTGGAATATTTTCTAACCTACAGTCATTCATTCAACAAACACTCCCTCCTGTGCCACTGTGTGCCAGGTGCACAGGGAGTGGGACGGTGAGCAAACAGCCACACAGCCCCGGTTTCTGCAGAGCTAGCATCGAGACCGGGGTTTCTCAGCCTTGGCACTATTGATATTTTGGGCCAGATCATCTGGACCAGTGGGGGGACGGCCTGTGTATCGTGGGGTATCTGGGGGCATCCTTGCCTTCTACCCACTAGACGCCAGTAGCACTCCCCATCTTCAGTTGTGACAACCAAAAATGCGTCCAGACCCTGCCAGATATCCCAGGGGAGGAAACAAAATCACCCCAACTGAGAGCCACCGTTCTAGAAGGAAGACAGTGAGCAAAGATACAAATGATGTATCATTTCAAAGAAAGAGTCGTTCTCCGAAGGATAGGAACACACTTAGAAGAAAGCAGTTGACAAAGAAATCAGACTGAATGTTCAGGAACCAAAATGAAAATCAACTCTCTTGAGTTATTTTTCTGTAATCACAGCGCATTAGCTTCTGGTTGGAGACATTCACAATGGAATGCCAAGAGAGAGTTTTTCTTTCTGATTTCAGCCTCAGAATGGCCTTTACAACCCAGGATCCAGCTCAGCAATGGAGAAGTCGGGGAGAATGGATGTGTGTGAGGCTTTAGCCCTCAGCGAAAAGCTGGTATGTACACGCGACATCTGTCCCCGCCCCAAAGCCTGGGTCCCCTGCAGTCATTGTTAACCATAAGATAGTTTGGCTAAATATCAACCTCATATACCTATTTAGTTGTTCTAATAACTCTGCGAGACCCATCTATTACCCCAGCATGGGTCAGAGATTGCGTAGCCTAATTCCTTGGAAAACTGGGTGGTTGGAATGAATGTTTACATCTGTTGTCATTTCCCCCCGGGTTCTCGCAAAAGGCAAAGTGGGAATGGATGTGGAGAAAATGAAAGTCGTACTGAAGCCCAATTGTGCTCGTTTCCAAAGCATTTGTTCTCTGCAATTACAGAAAATGAATGAAACAAAATTAGACGTTTGCTTCCTTAAAGCGGCCACCAGCGGTCTCGGGCGATGCCTCTGATCCGCAGTCGCTTTCCTTGCAGTACATGGACATGAGCAGAACGCTGGGAAGTCTGATGAACATCAAGGACATGTCGGGTCACATGTCCATGAAGTGCCTCTCCCCCAAAGAGAGGGAGAGAGTCAGCCAGCTTCGACAAAGGGACCTCGATCTGGTGTTTGATAAGATCACCGAACTCAAGAGCCGGCTGGAGAGGAAAGAGGAGCTTTTGCGAGGATACGAGAAGGACATTGAACAGCTCAGGTACCGCGGGACCCCATGTCCCTGGGGAAAGGCCCAGGCCTCCCTTCTCCTGGCTAAACATAAGCGGGCAGCAGACACCTTGGTCTGGGACCAAAGGGCAGAGGCCTGAGCGTGGAATGACCTAAATGTCGGGAGAGGGAGGGGGAGGAACAGCCACCAGGGCCTGACGGAGGCGAGTCTGTCTGCGCGAAAGCGGCCACAGAAGCGCTCGGGTGTCTCCGTCCTGTGTGCTGTCTTCCTGTGCAGGCTGCACCTTTTGTGACCCTTGGCTTATGACTTCCCACCTGTGTGGCTTTGCCAGTTCCGTACTTTCAATAGCTGCGGCCCCGGGAAGGTGGGAGGCGCTGGCGGCACACCCTTCGCCACGCTCCCGGCACACAGACTCCGCCGAGGAGCTGTTTGTGCTGCCCTCTGCTCCCAAACCCTTGTCTCACTCTCAGCTTGTAATGACGGTCCTCCGAGACCCCTCTGTGGAGGTCTTTGGAGAGGCTTCGGGGTCTGGGACGCTGAGGATGGGAGGAACGACGAGGGAAAAGAGACTGTCCCCCCTGTGCCCCCAGGCAGAGCAAAGTGTCCGTCCAGATGTACCAGGCACAGGTGGCCAAGCTGGAGGACGACATCTACAAAGAGGCGGAGGAGAAGGCCCTGCTGAAGGAGGCCCTGGAGCGCACGGAGCACCAGCTGTACCAGGAGAAGAGGGTCAACAGGACCATCAGGCAGCAGAAGGTGAGACGCCTCTGCCCGGGCGGAAGCTCCCAGCTGCCCTCGGCTCCCTTCGGCGATGGCAGAGCTGGTGCAGGAGCGTTTGCTGTTGCGAAGGAGGCGGCAGAATAGCCTCAGCATCAGACAGACCCAGGTTCAAACCAGAGCTCTCCCACCTACTGTGTGACCTGAGGCAGGTTTCTTAACCTCTCTGAGACTCATGGTGCTCATCTTTTTAATCTCTTTAAATGGTGGCTGCTATTCATATTCGTACTGTTCTGCCAGGTGCTGGAAGACATAGGTGAATAAGCTCTCCGAGAACGGAGATTTGGGCTCGCTATTCTGAGCGCCTGAGCATAGAAGACACCCAGTAGCTACTTGGTGAATGGATGGGTGGACAGACAGACAGGCTGACGGATGGACAGATGGATGGAGGGGTGGATGGATGCATAGAAGGACACTGGACCAAGAAGTGGGCAGGTGGATGGGAAGATGGATGTCCTTGGAGACCATACCCTTTAGTGTGGAACAGACGGGTGCAGAGCTGACTTCAGGCTGACGCAGTGGGGTGAGGGCTGTGTCAGGAGGGTGCCTGGGGCTCTGTGGCCCAGGGGAGGGCGCCCACCCATCCTAGAGCACCAGCGAGGGCCTCCCAAAGCCTTGAGACCTACGCTGAGTTGCAAAGGAAAGTTGGAGTTTGTCCACCAAAGGGACGGGCGGGCGGACATGCCAGGCTGAAGGAGCCAGAGGAAAGGCAGGAGGATGAGGCGTGCTCCCTGGCACGGAGCTGGAAACGGCATTGGCTTGAGAAACCCAGATTCCAGGCTCACGCTGGGGGCCCAGCCAAAATAGGTTGACTCTCCCCCTCCCCCAGTATCTCATCTGTAACACGGTACAGCAGTCAGTCAGCCCTGGGTTCAGATCTTCCACTTATTAACTGTGTGACCTTGTGCAAGTTTCTTCCCCTCTCTGAGCCTCGCTTTCCCCATCAGTAATGGGAGCTCAGAGCCCTGCCTGTCGGGATGGTCGTGAGGATGGAAGACAATGCAGGCATCCCTCGCCATCCACACTGCCCTGTCTGAACTCGGGAGCCAAGTGCTTTTGGATGGTGAGGGGACTTGTGGCGTCTTTAAAGTACCCACCCAGGTCCTGGCACCGGCAGGTGGATGTTGCCTTCCCTGTGCTGCCCATGGCCTGGGCACGTGGTCTCTCAGGTGGGTTCCGTGACCAGCACCCAGACGGTTTCAAAAGCTCCCTGACCACCCTGAGCCTGCCGAGGGGCTGGCAGAAGGGCTTTCGTGTTTGCAGTTTACACCTCCGTCCATCCACTCCTGCAGCCCCCAAGCATGTCTTTGGGCTTCCTCCGGGCGATGGAACGGTGACTTCTAAATAGAATCAGACTCTCCCTTTCCCTTGACTCTTGCCTACGGCAGAGCAGATCTCAAGGCCGGGGTCAGGCGGACAGGGAAAACAACCATGGCCACCGTCTCTCTTCATGACGTCTACAGGCCGGGCCTTGGGCCCCGTCTGCGCCTTGCAGTCATGGTCTAACAGCCCTGCCGGGTACAGTGATCCCACCTTACAGACGAGCAGGCTGAGCCTCAGAGAGTTAAGAGACTTGCCCGGGTTCACACAGCAGCTGGTGAGGAGGGCTGGGACTGCACCCCAGGGCTCTCCTGCCCCAGCGCCCGGGCTCTTTGCTGGGCTGGCCCCGAGTCTCCACCTTGTAATTGGTAGCTTTTCCGACTTGGCGCTGTGTGTGTGTGTGTGTGTGTGTGTGTGTGTGTGTGTGTGTGTGTTGTCTGCCTTAGTGAGAGGAGACCAAGCCCCCATAGAAGGAAGCCCCCTGCCCAACCAGCAGGCGCTGGTAGGTGAGTTCCCGCGGAAGCCCACCCTCCACCCTGCGAACCTTCCACAAGGCCCCCTGGCTTGCAGGCCCAGGCACGGAGGCAGCCATCCTGCTCTGGCGGAGCCCCGGATGTGGCGTTTCTAGCATTCACCGCTCTGAATTAAACATCACAGCCTCAGTCTGCGAGTGTCGTGGGGCTGCCTCAGGCAGAGGCTGGCTTCCTTTCACTCCGTGCCACGCTGGGGAGAGCTGGGCAGCGACAGAGGTCTGGCTGTCCTTTGAAGTGCCCTCTGGAGGGCTGGCTCCTTCTCGAGGCGTCCCCCAGGGCTTGGCAGGCCGGACCCCAAAGCAGAGACACCAAACCATAGAATGGGACGGCAAAGGGCCCCAAAAAGCCCATTGTCATGTGCTGGCTGAAAATGTAAGGAAACCTGAGGATTTACATAATCAGCTTCACATGCATTATTCATGGGCCGCCTCGTTCACACGCAAGGCAGGGCCGGGCCAGCCTGTTTGGCACCAGACAGCCTTCCGTGGAGGAGGGTCTGAGATGGCCGAGTTAAGCCTGTGTCGGGGTCCCCAGGAGACCCAGAGCTGGGAACTCTCTAATTCATGGAACTCACAAGGTAGGGAAAGATTTGATAGGAACCGTAGCGCGATCACGGCAAAGCTGGTGGTGTCGTTTCCCGAGCTTACGGCCTGCAGGCGCGTGCCTCGCCTCCCGTCAGCCTGCGAGGAGAGCTGGCGGTGCCAGCCCCTGAGAGGGTGGACCGAGGGTGGCATTACCCTGATACTCAGCAGCAGACCCCCCGATCTCAGCCCTCTCAGCCCCTCCATGGGACAGTGTGACAGTGACAGTGACCCAGGCTGTGTCCCTTCTAGTCCACTTTCTGCATTGCTAGGTAAGGCAGCAATATCCTCAGAGCTAAGAGGCGGACTTTGGAGTCAAACAAAGAGGGTTCGAGCCCACCTCTGCCCCTGAGAGACCCTCGGTCGGCGACTTTACCTCTAAGTCTCAGGTTTCTCAATGGCAACAACACTGGCAGCAGTGGGACGTCCTTCCTGGGCCGGGGAGGGTAAGAGGAGTAACGCGGGCAGCGCCTGGCATGTGGCGGGCTCGGTCACGCGGTTACCACGGCGAAGAGAAAAGGCAACTCATGGATGGTGGGGATAGTTCCTGCATTTCTTTCGGAAAGCTTCCTGCCCGCTGACGAGCCCCGGCAAACCCCGAGCTTTTCCTCTGGTCCCCCTACAGCCGGCAGCGCCTTTGTACAGCTCTCTTTTCTGGTTGGTCAATACGGCCAGGGCTACAGCCAAGAAAGGGCCGATACTTCTCATGAATGGGCTAAGACCAGAATTTTCAATAGAGAAACTTTAAATGCACAGAAGATGCCCTTTGAGAAGTACGCAGACCCTTTCTCAGGCCTTTATTAGGACTTGAAGTGTGAGAACAGCCGAAATGCACGGGCAGCTTCTGGCTGGGGTGGCAGCTCTGCTCCCTCTCCAGGCTCTAGCCAACCAAATCCTGGCCAAGGGGATTGGCTTTGCCAGGTGGTCTCAGCTGGGCTGGAGCCCCTAACCGTCCCTCTGCTTAATGAGCTCAGATGCCTCATCTTTAAGATGAGGATAAAAATGGTGCCTAACTCATAAGGGTCGATTCCATGAGGACATGCATACGAAACCCTTAGCAGGCCAGGCACGGTGGCTCATGCCTCTAATCTCAGAACTTTGGGAGGACAAGGCAGGAGGATTGCTCGAGGGCCGGAGTTTGAGACCAGCCTGGGCAACATGGTGAGACCCCATCTCTACAAAAAACTAAGAAAAATTAGCTAGGTGTGCTGCCACCAGACTGTAGTCCCAGCTACTCAGGAGGCTGAGGCAGGAGGATCGCTTGAGCCCAGGAGTTCAAGGCTGCAGTGAACTATGATCACACCACTGCACTCCAGCCTGGGTGGCAGGCTGTCTCTAAATAAATAAATAAATAAAATAAAACTCCTAGCAAATAGAACCACTCACTCAATGCGTGCTCTTATACCATCATCACTATCATCGCTATTCTATTTAACTCACTATTTTCCAACAGTTCCTTGGGCCCAAATATTCTCAAGATCTTGGTTTCCTCTGTGCCACTGTGTGTTTTTGACCAACGAGTAGAAATTGGGAGATGTTGTGTAGGATGAGAATGGGACAAGGGGGGCTTGGGGGTGGTGCCCTCGGGCCCACAGAAGGATGCAAAAGGAAAATGTGGTTAGAGTGGTGCGGTGGGTGGGTAAAGACGGCTCAAGAAAAAGACCACCACTCCCCAGCCATCTTCGGCTCACCAATCCCAGCGAGTCCCAGTGTCTCCTGGAACCCTCAGAGGTGTGGCCCAGACTGGAACAGGTAGGAACATACTAAACAGTCTCTTGCTCACCTGGTATTTTCGCTCAGGAACGCGTAGAGGAGCTTGAACAGAGAAATGCAAAAGAACCAACACCTTGCAACTGTCCCTTCAAAGAGAAAGAGAGGCAGGTACGGAGAGGGTTCTGATGTTGCAGCCAGACACAAAGGAGAGGCAGTCTTGCACACTGGGTAAGCGCTAAGGGCGTGTGAACACCCAAGGAGCACCACACACCTCTACTCCCGGCCCTTCCCGGCCCCAGCCCCTGACCCCACCTGCCTGCGGTTTGAACAAGTGGCCTAAGGGCCAAGCGAAGCATCCACAGCGGTATCTTGAGGTGAGAGAAGGCAGAGGGGAAACACACGTGTCGTTTTGGCTGACGGAGCAGCCATCCTAGGCGCTCAGCGATTTGGGGACTTGCAGACAAGGTCATGAGAGAAGAAGGGAGGAGCAGGCAATCCCGGAGCCCCTGCCCTAAGCACGGAATAAGTGGGGTGAAGGAAGGGGGGAAAGTGGGTACAGAAGGAAGCCAGGAACGAGGGGGAAGTGTCTATTGTGACGGCTTCCACACCTGCCAGGGGGAGCCTCGTTGGACCCCGGCCTTCCTGGCAGCCAAGGAGAAATGGAAAGCCAGCCTGGTCTGCAGCCCACAGCACCATGAGACCCCATGGTGGGAGGCTCACACGTGTTCATAGGACAAAGCCGTTGATGTAAAGAACGACATCCCAAGGAACAGCCTTATTCTCAGAATAGCCCTGGAGACAGGCGGGTGCCACCACCTCCCAGTGAGTCGGG